TTGGTGCTGAAGATCGTTTGGTTGAGATGATGTGTTCATGGCTGCAGCCTCAGTAAACAAAATCAGCCCTTTGGGCTCCCGTCTCCTGGTCCAGAACTGTCTTCAACCCTATCAATTATTACTAATGCTTCTCTGTGAGTCATATGTGCAACCCACAGCACTCTATGTATATGAAGGAGTTAATAAAGCCCAGATGCTTTCTAAGCACACTCGATGGCACAGGGTTCACGCACAGCTCTGCCCCTTGGGTTTGCAAACTTACCTCTGCTTCTTCAGCTGCTCTCGTTCTGGCTATGTCCGGTACTTCACTCTGAACAAGACCTGAGGATTCTCAAAGTGGGCCCAGTTCTTAGAGGTGAGGGTTCTAGTGTCACTTTTATTCAGTGCTAACAGTTGACCCTAAGGCCTCCCATATGCTAGATAAGCACCCCACCACTGAGCTACATCCCTAGTGTGCACTGTGTCAACTCTTTAGGATCAGAATCAACCCTGTCATGCAGGTATCTTGGGGACTCTTAGACTGGGCAGATATCACTTCAGAAATCTGGAAGGAAGGCCTGAAATTGTACATAAAGGGCATGAAACATTCATAGCATCAGTGACAGTTGTGAGTGTTCAAGTAGGCGTTAGGAAATAAAACCAAGGGAGGTCTCTACAGGGCTACTGGGCTGGATGCCAGGATGATTCAGAAGCCACTATTTGCTAGGAGAACCTCTTGGCCTGGAATCTAACCTGCACCCTAAAAAAATTCACCATCTGGCTTGCTGCTGTAAACAGGGCAGCTAAGTTTCTAGAAGTTTCTGGGAGGTGAGAGTAAAGGATTCACATGAATCAAATAGTAACGAAAGATGCTAATTCATGAAATCTGGCACATAAATGCAATGACTATCACATCGAGGATTTCTAGTCAGTAGATCTGTTCCCACTGCTCTGACATAAATTACATAGAAAGTCAAATCTAACCGGGATGTAGCTCAGTAACCACAAAAGCAGAACAAAAGCGACGACATCTGATTCAAGAATGCAGTACACTAGGCACAAGTCTGCTTCCTACTTTTGATGGTTAGAGTAAATTGTCAACTTGACAGAATTTAGCATCATGGGAAATGGGCATCTGGGCATGTCTGTAGAGGATACTCTTGATTACATACATTGAAATAGGAAGGCTTGTCTACTATGGGTGGCATCATTCCCTAGCTTGGGTCCTAGACCGTGTGAGTAGAAATAGGGAGCAGAGAAGTATGCCTGTATCTGTTGCTTTAACGTGACTGCAAACATGATGTAACCATAGCTGCTTCAAGCTCGTGCTGCTTTGACTTTCCAACCATAATGAACTGTACATTAAATCGTGAATAAAAACAAACCTTCTCTGCCTTAAGTTGCTATTGTCAGAATATTATCACAGCAGTGGGAAAGAAATCAATACATCACTGAGTTATTCCTGTCCTTTTCTAGCCATTGTTATCACCATCACAGAACTACAAATGAGTATATTTAATAAACTCCACCCCAACTCCCAGAAACAACGCTACTTGTTCATGTCATTCAATACACAGTATCGCTCTGCCAAACAAGGGGTAGTATTGGATCTAATGTGGCCCAGTCAGTGAAACTTAAGGATCAGTACATTTTTTTCTAGGGGAAAATCAATGCCTATATAGCAATTCTACTTAACTTTGCCCTGAACAGATTAGATATATCAAATAAATAAATAAATAAATAAATAAATAAATAAATAGGTTTAGCCTTTCCATTAAGTAATAAGAAGAGGTAAAGTGAGTGAGCGTTAGTATTTGCTTGAGTTAAACATGTCATATCCAAGTCAGAGCAATCTCTGGATCTTCCTCCCATGAGCATGAGATGACCTGTGCAGTAGCAGATGCTGTGAGGAGGAAAAGAGTACATAAAGGAGGAACAAGGCTTAAAGGCCAACATCTTATAAAGAAATAGTCACAGACTGATGCTTATGTTTCATTGCTAAGTCATGTGGCATCCTCTGTATTCTGGGGCATTTGAGAATGCAGTAGTTTTAGCTGAGCCACTGCACAAAACAGAGTTCCAGCCAGGAAGAAAACTGAGAAGGGTAATATATGACATCGTGCAGAATTTTAAAGATTATAAATTATAAAATATTATAATATTTTATATGGCATGTAAAATATTACAATAATAGAAGTAGTAGAATATCTGTCTATCTACCTATTTACCTATCTACCTATCTATCCATCCACACACCCACACATCTATCTATCTATCTATCTATCTATCTATCTATCTATCTATCTATCTTCTATTTCTATCTGTTTATCTCTATCTGTCTATCATCTATCTGTCTGTCTGTCTGTCTGTCTGTCTATCTATCTACCTATCTATTTGTTCAAGGCTTGAGCTTATGAGTTCTCTCATGTATGCTGGTATCTAATTTTAAAACGATGACTATAAGCAGTGGTGGGAGACAGGGTGGATCAGAGGAATGGACAGAGTAAGCATCCTCCAAGTAGACTTTGTAGGGTTCTCTGAGAGGTGTATGTCTCTCAGAAGAGAAGGTCTACTTATGATGACATGGAAGATTAATTAACTGTGGAGACCTGGACATGTGACCCATCTGAATTCTCCCAAATGTCTCTACTCTAACCATCACAGCACTGTTCTTTTCCTCCCCAAGACCTAACTTTCACTTAAGAAATCTACAAGTCAGAGCTAAACAAAGCTAAATTTTCAACTGAGGAATATTGAATGGCCGAGAAGCATCTAAAGAAATGTTCAACATCCTTAGTCATCAGGGAAATGCAAATCAAAACAACCCTGAGATTCCACCTCACACCAGTCAGAATGGCTAAGATCAAAAACTCAGATGACAGAAGATGCTGGCAAGGGTGTGGAGAAAGAGGAACACTCCTCCACTGTTGGTGGGATTGCAAGCTGGTACAACCACTCTGGAAATCAGTCCAGCGGTTCCTCAGAAAATTTGACACAGTATTACTTGAGGACTTCTGGACATATACCAGAAAGATGCTCCAACATATAACAAGGACACATGCTCCACTATGTTCATAGCAGCCTTATTTATAATAACTAGAAACTGGAAAGAACCTAGATGTCATTCAACATAGGAATGGATACAGAAAATATTGTACATTTACACAATGGAGTACTACTCAGCTATTAAAAACAATAAATTCATGAATTTCTTAGGCAAATAGATGGAACAAGAAAATATCATCCTGAGTGAGGTAACCCAGTCACAAAGGAACACACATGGTATGCACTCACTGATAAGTAGATATTAGCCCAAAAGTTCAGAATACACAAGATATAATTCACAGATCATATGAAGCTCAAGAAGAAGGAAGACCAAAGTGGGGGTGCTTTGGTCTTTCTTAGAAGGAGGAACAAAATACTCATGGGGGCAAATACTGAGACAAAGTATGGAGCAGAGACTGAAGGAAAGGCCATCCAGGGACTGCCCCACCTGAGGATCCATCCCATATACAATCACCAAATGCAGACACTATTATAGATGCCAAGAAGTGCATGCTGACAGGAACCTGATATAGCTGTCTCTTTAGAGGCTCTGCTAGAGCTTGACAAACACAGAGGCGGATTCTCACAGCCAACCATCAGACGGGGTGTGGGGTTCCCAATGGAGGAGTTAGAGAAAGGACTGAAGGAACTGAAGGGGGTTGCAATCCCATAGGAAGAACAACAATACCGACCAACCAGAACCCTCAGAGCTCCCAGGGACTAAATCACAAACCAAAGAGTACACATGGAGGGACTCATGGCTCCAGTCACATATGTATCATCAATGGGAGGAGAGCCCCTTGGTCCTGTGAAGGTTTGATGCCCCAGTGTAGGGGAATGCTAGGGCAGAGAAGCAGGAGTAGGTGGGTGAGTGGAGGAATACTTTCAAAGAAGCAGGGGGCGGAAAGGATGGGATAGGGAGTTTCCAGCGAGGAAACCGAGAAAGGGAATAACATTTGAAATGTAGATAAATAAAATATCTAATTAAAAATAAAAAACTACAAGTCTGTGAATTAAGCCTGAATTATAATTGAATATGTCATGGGATCCAGCATTAGATGGATATTCAGTTTCCTCAACCCTGTGGCTACAGGAGATGATAATGGTTTAGGTCAGCCATAAATTGTTCTGTCACCTGCAATGAGGCAAGAATGTATAGCTTGTGTGTGTGTGTGTACATGTTCGCACATGTGCATGTGCCTATAGGACCTTGTATATATTAGGCAATGTTCTACCACTGAACTACATTTTTCTACCTCATCTTATTTTTCTTTCTTTAAGTTTTCTAATACTAATGTGTGTATCAAAGATAGCCATACTTCTTTAAAATGTCATACAGAAGCATCACTTGAATTTACCAAAATGTCTTTCTTAGTCACTTGACTCCCAATTAACCACAACCAGTGTTGAGGAAAATGTTTCCTTTACACACCTTCAAATACAACTAAACCAAATAACTAATCCCAGATACCCATTTCTAAGACTGTCTGCACAAACATTTCTAGCAGGTACTATTGTTAGCTATAAAAAGACAACCAACCAACTTTAAGGATAAGCAGCAGATGGATGGAGGACGGAAGGCAGCTCGGAGAATGTTTATGATGGTAGGATGACCAGAGAGCAGGCTTGGATGCTCCAAAGCCAGGAACATGAGATAAGAAAATGATGCTTGAATATGCCAAAGACTGACATTGAACCCAGTCACTTGACACCAGCCCTGCTTAGTTCCAGATTCTACACACTCCATCATAACCACAAGAGAAGAATCATAGCAATGCAGAACACACACCACAGCCACCACACACAAATAAGAAAAAACCTCATTCTCATTGTTGCTAGCAAATTCCTGATGAACAGGGAGAAAGGCAACATTAGGTTCAAGCAGACGCCGGGAAAGGCTGAACATCAGCAGAAAGCAATAGAATCCTTGAAATACTCTGAGCCACTAGAGCAGAGAAACCCAAAAACCCATCCCAGTGTTCACTATGACCACACAAACATTAAAACTGAAACAATGCATGAAAGTTTAGCATGACCCTTGTGCAAGGATAAAAGAAATGTGGGAAGGAACCCATAATTTTTGAAATCTATATTCATATCTATCTATCTATCTATCTATCTATCTATCTATCTATCTATCTATCTATCTAT